GTGTTAATTTAAAAGCTAAAAGTATAATTTGACATCAATATTATGTCTAGTGACGTGTTCTGATATTGATTAAGCGGATAACACAAAAATAATGACTATGATTGTGGGCTAGGATTCTAACGAAAGATCACATTTGTAGACTATAGTTGTCGTAAAAAGCGACTGTAATTCACAAACGACGCAAACGGAACAGCCTTTGAAATTGTGTATGATAAAAAAGATATATTATCATTGTGAAATTACACTTTTAGCCCTCAAATTAACACCAACATGATAGAAGATCAAAAAAGGACTATTTGTGGAAAGGTACCCATAAAAGAAGGACCACTTGGGTAATATTTGATAATAGAGGACTAAATAGGGAAACTCCCTGTTATAAAGGACCAATTATAGAATTTACTCATAGAATAATTGTCAAACACCTTGTATAGTAGTGGAGCGGTATCATAGTGAATCTTCCAAATGAGAGGTCATAGCTACGATGGAAACGGTAAATCTACCTACTTTAATAAGTTGAGAATGAATAAATATAATATAATCTCTTTCTAATAGACTTATTAGTATTATACACCTCCGTCTCAAATTGTTTACATTTCGAACAACGTACAAAATATCATTTTTTTAAAATTGTTTTAGTTAGAAATTGGCATAAAAATAAAAAGTCAAAATTACATCATTCAAATGTACACCAAAAGTTTTACAAAACAAATGCAACAAAAATATTTTATTTTATCAAATGGTCAATCAAAACGAGTAACAAATAAAAATTATCGAGATACCAAAATAGTAACTATGATGCTTTTTTGGGGTGGAGGGAGTATTATTATTACAAATTTGTTGTTGTTGTTGTTATGATTATTTTTTATTATTGATGTTGTTGTTATTATTTTAAGCATTTTATCTTGTTTCAAAACATGAAAAATAAAAATTTTACTGAATAAATAAACATTAGCACATATAATCAGTTATAATCATTGTATCAGATCGGTACATATATACTTTCTCAACGTATTGAGACACTGAAAGTTGTTGCTTCCACAAGGGTTTGAGCTTGTGACCTCTTATTTGGAAGAGTCACTTTGTGCCATTGGACCACAAGATCTTTGACACAAATGTTTTTTGTATGAATACTTTTTTTTTAATTTATGAAGGGGAGAAGAATTATAGATTTTTATAAATTTAGTAAATCTAGACCATTTATATTTAACTATTAAAGGATATGCCCCCAAAAAGGTCAAGTTATTTAGATATTCCACGTTGTAGAATTGTAAATAATTTCGTTACACTCCATACCTAACACGAGTTAAACACAATTTTAAAAAACAATTTTTTTTTTAGAACTTTACAAAAACGAGACAAATTTTACATTTTTCAAACGAAAATTTAATACTAAAGAAAAAAAATTGTACCCGAGTGTAAGATTTGTTTTTTTGATGTACCCAGTTTTTTACCGAGTATATTGTGATACTCATAGATTAAATTTATTTGTACCCCAAAGATTGTATCTCAAAACGTATCACAAACACTTAAATTTTATATTAATATAACTGTGAGATTAATGATTTACATTAACACAAAATATCAATGTGAAATTTTGCAATTGCACTGATATTTTGTGTTAATTCAATCTTTGGGGGTACATCTAATATAATTGTTACTCATAACAAGTGTGCTAGAGTAGCAACCATGTTATACCTAAGTGAATACCAAAGATTGTACGCCAAGTTATAAATTGATAATTCGATAGTTCACACTAGCATAAAATGTTTGGTCAAAAATTTTACACTAATATTTTTTCTGAGTGTGAACCATCAAAATATTGAGGCACAGATGTGATACAACTTCGGGTATAACCCTTAGTGTGCAAGTTAGTTTATTCTACTCATAAATTTTGTTACCAAATATTCTTGCTTAGCTTCCTTAAGATTATATTGAATTAACATACTCCCTCCGTCCCACTGTCTTTGTCCACTTACCTTTTGGCACACCATCCAATGCACTTCTTTAATCTATTTTATCTTGTAATTTGTATATTAAAAAATTATAGAAATTATATATTAATAATCTATATGTTAAGACAAATCAAACAAGATCACACATGACTATATTTAGGCTTATACATTGAGAGAATTTGATGAGTCAAAGTACTTAGATGAACAGTTCCAAAAGTCAAATGTGGACAAAGACAGTGGGACGGAAGTAGTATATAGTATTATAACATAGTGAGTTTCCCATATAATATAATCCTCGTATGTTTTAGTTTTTCAATGTAGTATCATTGTTTAATATAGATCGAAGATTGTTCAAGTAAATATCCACTGTCATTGTATATTGTTTCCGCTAATAGACATTTTCAAGGAATAAAAAAGTTTAAAGTATTATATTACTCCCTTCGTCCTCCAGTTTTTGTCTACTTTTGACTTTTGGAACAGTTCATCTAAGCACTTTGACTCATCAAATTCTCTCAATGTGTAAGCCTAAATATAGTTATGTGTGATCTTGTTTGATTTGTCTTAACATATAGATTATTAATATATAATTTCTATAATTTTTTAATATACAAATTACAAGATAAAATAGATTAAAGAAGTGCATTGGATGGTGTGTAAAAATGAAAGTGGACAAATATTCTCGAATGGAGAGAGTTGAAAAAACATAGTAAATTTTAATACTACTCCGTATTTCATACAAATTTCACCTATTTCTCCACCTTTATTTTCATAAATTGAATTTTTTTTTTCCACAAATCATGAATTTAAGTTATGATGGTGGGGTACTTGTTTGAGCACATGTAATCGGTCAGGACAATGGTTAGAAAATGATTGAATTTTACTCGTACCGAATTTGACCAAGACGTTCACACCTGCCAAATTTTAATGTGTCTTACACTCCCTATTTGTTGAAAAAATGAAATACTCCCTCTGTCCTACTGTATTTGTCTAGTTTGATTTTTTGAGTTAAATTGAACAAACTTTAAGTTTCAATTAAATAAAAATTGTAATGTATTTTAACATAAAAATAACTTTATTGAATTTATTGCATCGAGAGTTTTCAAAATTATATTTCATTATGCTAATATGCAATATCTGTAAGTAATTGGAATTCAAAGTTTGTCCAGTTTAACTCAAAAAAGTCAAATTAGACAAATACACTAGGACGGAGGTAGTATGATTTGCTGCCCGAGTGAAACCCTATGTAGTCTGTACCTGGTTTTGGGCATGATTGGTAAATGCAATGTATTCTCATTTCTCTCCATTTCATTTTATATTGTTGTTTTGAATTTGAAGCATATTTAAGGAAGGAAAAAATAATGCTGACTTTTCAAAAATGTTCTTACTTTTTTAAGAGATGATGATAAATGATCGAGAAGATAAGGTGAAAATGAGTGACTTATTGAGAGGTAGTTTAGGTATTTTTCACTTAAAAGTTAAATGTAATAAGAATGGAAAAAGACTAAAGTAGAAGTATATTGGGTTAAGGAACCCGGGGTCTAGGAGACTATGCGGAAGAGTATCGAACTGAGTCGAGAGTGCACAAGTTGGGAATCAAGTAGATTGTAAGTATTATTCTGCTAGTGAGAATGTCTCTTCCTTCCCTCTAGGAAGGGTTTATATGCGAATTTCAACGGAGGGTTCCCGACCGTTAGTCCAGAGTCCAACGGTTTGGGCCCACTAAGATTGGGTTGTTCACCGGCGGCGCCTAACCATATCATTATCCCTAGGGCTACTATACAAAATAGGTCACGAATAGGGTGGGCCCCTTGATCTTGACTGATTAGGCAGCTCCAATGTCTGATTCTTGTCTGATAACACCTTGGGCCGAGGCCGAGTACGCGTAATCTGTCGCCCGAAGTCCCCTGACGGAAGGCTGGCCGAGGAGGGTCCGAGGCCGACCAAGTCTGCCGGGGCCAAGCATGAATTGGTACAAGAGTGGCCTTCCTTAGACTTCAGTTTCCTCCCGCCTTTGCCCAGCTAGATGGGCCTAGGCACTGTTGGGCTGGGCCGCTTTCCTGTTGGGCCGGATACCCCATTCAAGGGTATCCATCAAAGTAAAACATTGAAAATATATAAAAATAGAACTTCTATGTTTTTCTTCTCAAAATAGGAGTTAAATTGCATTTACATTACCAAACAAGATCATGTACATTACCTAAAAGTATACTAATGTCACCTAATGTGCACATGCATAGTGCCACATTACAACCAAATTTCCGAAGTATGAAGTTCTATTTCGAGAATAAAAACATAAAACTCCTATTTTGGTATTTTTTTTCTATGTTTTAATCAAATTTACGGTGATTTCTATTAGACAGCTTATTTTGGGACGGACAAAAAGGAAAACATGCAATTTAAAATTAGACGGAGAGAGTAATTTTAAGGTTTTGATAAAAATTACTTCCTCCGTTCTTAAAAGAATTTTCTTCTTTGATTAGCGTATAAAAATCTCGTGATTTTTAAAATGATTTTATTTATAAATTGGTAAAAAATAAAAATAAAAAAATTATATTTAAAAACTACATAAAAAACTCTACAAAACAAAAGTGATAAAAAAATTTTATTTTATCAAATGATCAATAAAAATATAAAAACAAATAAGAGTTATTAGGTGACCATAATAATAAACAAGAAGATCTTAGACGATGGAAATCAATATCATTCTTTTACACACGGTTCATCCACTTGTGTTGGATGAATTAGACGATGGAAATGCATGTAACTGAAGATGGATTGATCGTGTGACAAATGTGGGGTTAATGGGTAGATAAACGTTAAACTCCACCTGATCCAAACCCGATCCATTGAGATCCCTAAATCTTATAAATGGTCGTCGTTCATAATGGGGAGTTTTCCATATATGATCTTTAATTCTAAAATATTATGTTCGCGGTCTTCTGTATTTGAGAATCATTCCATTATCATTTCTTAGACTCAAACATTTTTCGACACATACAGTCTTAAAGCATTGATTATAAAAAAGTTCTAAAATATCGAGAACCACAAACGTAATAATTTAGAATTAGGAACGTAACTAAATATATGAAAAATCCCTTGTTATGAAGAACTATTTATGCAAAGATTCTTTTGAGCTAAATATTATTTTTCACATATACTACTTCCGTTCCAGAGTATTTGTCCACTTTCATTTTTACACACCATCCAATACACTTCTTTAATCCATTTTATCTTGTAATTTGTATATTAAAAAATTATAGAAATTATATATTAATAATCTATATGTTAAGACAAATCAAACAAGATCACACATGACTATATTTAGGCTTACACATTGAGAAAATTTGATGAGTCAAAGTGCTTAGATGAACAGTTCCAAAAGTTAAAACTAGATGAATACTCCGAGACGGAGGGAGTAGTTCTTAAATGTTAGATTATACGGGGTAGAGTAGTTTTCAAATATCACAAATATATCACAAGAACTTTATTTACTATTGTTTGAAATGAGAAGATATTTTTGAACCGAGTATCACTTTTCTGAATAATTGTATCAAATTTTTGAACAATTTGTTGTGTAACAGGATAATGACCTCAAATATTCTTGTGTATCAATCTCCACAACTTAAAATGAAAAAGAAAATGAAGAAGCAAGTACAATAGCGTGTGGACGGTGAAGTCATAACTTTCTGGCCAGTCAGAGTATATACTGTATAAATTAAACCTCTGTTTCTCTCAATTCCACAATGCAACTAACCTTTTGAACTTAACCAAAGCCCTCTTTAATTAATTCCCCCCTTCTCTCTCTCTCTCTCTCCTCAAATCAAACATGTCTCTGCAAAATAAACTGCCGGCGGTCTCGATGTCAACCAGACCGGCCGCTCCATTCCCGAGTTCGCGGAACCGGGTCCGGGATCTCGACTCCCGGTCGGGATTGAACCGGGTTCCGATGAGGAGAAGGGGTTATCGGGCGAGAGGGGTCGCGGCGGCGGCCGTGAGCAGCGATCAGAGGGGGGCGAGAGCGGTGGTGCCGGAGAAAGCGGCGGCGAAGGTGGAGGTGAGAGCGGTGGTGACGGTGAGGAACAAAGACTACGAAGATTTTAAGGAAACTCTGGTGAAGCATCTGGATAACTTGTCGGAGAGCCTCGGCAGAAATGTCGGGCTTCAGCTCATCAGCAGCTCCCAAATTGACCCCAGTCAGTAACTTTTCTTTTTACCCTTCTCTTTTTCCCTGTTTCTTCCGCGAGTCCTCCTTTCCCACTCTCTTATTACCTCTTCCCTCAATTCTTTCCCTTTGTTTTTTCATGTTATTTACCCGGAGATAAAATTATTTTGATTATAAAGATATGCTCCGTAATACTTCAAAATTATATACTCCGTATTGAAATGAACATATTGATATTAAATTTATATTTTAATTTAATTTATTTCTTTTTTTAATTTATAACCAAAATTTTAAAATATTGACATAAAAGTCAAACTAGCGGAAAGAAAATTTCTCCTTATCATTTAAGGATTAACCTATTTGTACACCAAATTTGTCTTCCATTTTGTACCTCAAAGGCATGCACCGATATTTTGTGTTATAGTGATAGTTTATATTGACAAAAAATGTCACTGTAATTTTTTTAACGTGAACTACAATTTTGTGTCAGTGTAAACCATTAAAATATCGGTGCATTTTCTTTGAGATACAACTTGGATAAACTTTTTATTGTACCCATGGTTGATCATTTGGACCCTCCCTACATCTTACTCGTCCCATTCATAATTTTTTATTTCTCTTTTGTCCCTTCTAAAAGATTTTCGTTTTAAAGTAAAGAAATTATGGCTAAAGAACTATCTCTTAACTAATTATAATCGCACGTACTTTTTTTAATGGTTTTTTCGTAAAGTCAAGATACAAGTTTCACATGTGATCTTAGGATTATAGAAGCATAATTCATAAATTGAATTAGTTTGATTTACATGTTATATATATTTATGGAGTATTAATTTTTTATATACTCGTATAAATTTTCTATTTGACATTTCTTGGTCCAAGTTTGTAAACTTTAACTTTGATTTGTGAAAAAAATATATTGTGTTTTGATATAAATATAATATTAATTGTTTTTTTGAAATGTAGTTTTGCATTATTAACTTTATTTAAAATATATATACCTCTATGTAAATATCGATGTTAATGGTCAAAATTTGAAATTAGAAATCGTGAAAAAATAAAAAAAATTATATTTAAACAGAGGGAGTATTTATTTGAAGTTAAATTTATAAAAAATGAAAGTGTACAACAGCAGTTTCACACAAAAAAATCAAACGGTAAAGAGCTTTTTTTGTTTTTTGTTTTTTGTGGTACCATATATAATGAGATAATGGCTACCACCAGTCCACCACAAAGAAGGGCAGACATCACGAGAGTATGAGACATCATATTCGACTTTGACTTTTGAGGACTCGGATATGCTGTTTGGATGAGACTTTTCATTTGTACTCCCTCCGTCCACCTAAGATCTTCCCATTGCGCATTATGAGACTTGACCGACTTTATTTTTAATTCAATTTATTTGAATATAGGGGTAAAATTTTAGCATAAAATCTTTGTTGTAATAAATTACATGAAAAGTTCTACAAAACTAGAGGTGACAACACTATATCATTTCATGAAATGAGTAGTAAAAATAAACAAACAAAGTGAACTAAGTTTGACTATGTGAATAGTATCTGAGAAAATCTATGGTGGACAGAGGAAGTACTTGATAGTGTTCAAGTAATTATTTATCGTTACTGGATAGTGGATACTCCGTATTAATTAAAGTAAATATCAATCGTCACTAGATATTGTTCCCATCACTACATATTGTCTAAATACTATTATTTAGAGAATACACAATTTTATGTACTAAATTACAAAAAAGTCATACTACCTCCGTCTCACTCTTTTTGTCCAGTTTTGACTTTTGGAACTGTTCATCTAAGCACTTTGACTCATCAAATTCTCTCAATGTGTAAGTCTAAAAATAGTCATGTGTGATCTTGTTTGATTTGTCTTAACATATAGATTATTAATATATAATTTTTATAATTTTTTAATATACAAATTACAAGATAAAATGGATTAAAGAAGTGCATTGGATGGTGTGCAAAAATGAAAGTGGACAAAAAGAGTGGGACGGAGGGAGTATATTTTAGTACGGAGTACTATTTAGTACTCCCTCCGTCCTATAATGTTCTTCCCACACACTTTTTACCCGGTCAAACTTTAATCACTTTATTTACCTATTTTCATTAGGTATTTGATAAAATAATATAGTCTTGTCACCACTTGTTTTGTAGAACTTTTGATGTAGTTTTTAAATATATAAAATTTATTTTTTAATTTTACACCTGCAATCAAATAAATTGAATTGAAAATAAAGTCGGTCAAACTTCGTAAAATGAACCAGGAATATCATTATAGGACGGAGGGAGTATAAATTTCGCTTAATTTTTCCTCGTCATTGTAATTATCTATTTTAACCTTATTTCTTAGGGAAATTTACTTAAATAGCATTAAAACATAATAACTTTTCTTAAATAGCATCACATGTGTTTTTTTCTAATGTAACACTTTTAGTCATTATGCATTAGTCATTATTCAAATAAATATTTGCTATCACTGGATATTATGGACATTATTAAATGCTATTTAGGAAATAAAACAATTTACGGAGTAAGTGCTATTTAGGGAAATGACTTAAGTTTTAGTGCTATTTAGTACAAATATTTCTATTTCTTAACGGTAATATTTTTCTTTTTTTTATGGGTGTTTATTTAATTTGTTTTGTTTACAAAAATAAAAAAAAAACAGAAACAAAGGAGGCAAGGAGGAGCAGCAAGGCAGTGCTGAAGGACTGGACAAAGAAGTCAAAGCTGAAAACAGAGAGAGTGAATTACACAGCAGAGTTCACAGTGGACTCCAATTTCGGGATCCCAGGGGCAATAAGCGTCACCAACAAGCACCAGCAAGAGTTCTTCCTGGAGAGCATCACCCTCCAGGGGTTCCATGACCCCGGCCCCCTCCACTTCCCCTGCAACTCCTGGGTCCAATCCTCCAAGACCCACCCCCTCCCCAGGATCTTCTTCTCCAACCTGCCCTACCTGCCCGACGAGACGCCTCCGGGCCTCAAGGCATTGAGGGAGAAAGAGCTCTGCGACTTGAGGGGCGATGGGACCGGCGCAAGGCGACTGTCCGATAGGATATACGACTTCGACGTTTACAACGACCTCGGGAACCCCGATAAGGGCATCGACTTTGCTCGCCCCGTGCTAGGCGGAAAAGACACTCCTTATCCCCGGCGCTGTCGTACCGGCCGCCCTCCCACGGATACTGGTCAGTTACTGTTCCGTGGTGTTAGTGTTTTTAGAGTTAATCTGAGCCATTTTTAAAGAAACTTTTATCCAAAATGCTGATGCTAATTGAGAAAAATGTGAAATTTGCACTGAACAGGACTAAAACATAAGTCATTTCTCCAGGACTTAAATATTTTTATTCCCTAAATAGGACTTAATAATGACTAGTGAGAAGAATAATGTTCAAGTGATGCTGGACATTTAGTTGAATAATGACTAACTGATAATCACCAATGGTCTTACATTGGGAAATAAAAACATATGGTCCTATATTGGGAAAGTCATTATGTTTTAGTCCTATTTAGGTAAACTACCCTTGAAAAATGTTTTTTTCGTCGTGTATATTGACATGGTTTCTTTTTGTTCCTTTGAAAAAAGATATAAATGCGGAGAGTAGATTGGAGAAGCCATCGCCAATGTACGTGCCGAGAGATGAGCAGTTTGAGGAGTCCAAGCGGGACGCGTTCTCCACGGGAAGGCTCAAGGCTGTGCTTCACAACTTGCTCCCGGGTTTGCAGGCGAAAATCTCGGAGAAGAACGTTGACATCAAAGGGTACCAAGACATCGACAAGCTTTATAGCGAAGGGCTCCTTTTGAAGCTCGGGATTAGGGACGATGTCTTCAACAAGTTCAAATTCCCGAGAATCGTCACCAAGTTCAAAGATGGAGACCTTCTTAAGTTCGACATTCCTAAGATCATCTCAAGTAAGTAATCAATTCTCCTCCTTCCTCTCCCATTCTTTCCTATCAATTTGACATGCATTTGTTATGGTGTACCGAAATGCAATTCATTGTGCAGAGGATAAGTTGGCGTGGCTGCGAGACGATGAGTTTGGTAGGCAAGTGATTGCGGGTATTAATCCCGTGACCATTGAGAGGCTCACGGTTTTCCCTCCCGTGAGCAAGCTTGACCCTGAGGTCTATGGACCCTTAGACTCTGCCCTCAAAGAAGAGCACATTCTTCGAAATCTCAATGGCATGTCTGTACAAGAGGTAATCATCATACAAATGCAAACATACAATCACAAGATAACTTTTTTATTGAGTTGATTCCTTAATATAATATCTAACTGTAGGCCATAGATGGGAACAAGCTCTACATTGTGGATTATCACGACGCGTACCTGCCGTTCGTTGACCGTATCAACGCTCAAGACGGTCGCGCTACGTATGCGACTCGGACCCTTTTCTTCTTGACAGATATGGGAACTCTGAAACCAATCGCCATTGAGCTCTGCCTGCCATCGTCGAGCTTTCCAAGTGCCCCGACGAGGTCAAAGCGCGTGGTCACACCGCCCGTGGACGCCACCTCTTACTGGATGTGGCAGCTCGCCAAGGCCCACGTCTGTTCCAACGACGCCGGCGTCCACCAGCTCGTTCACCACTGGTAAAAAATCAAAGTGAAATTTGCACTAAATAGGACTAAAACACAAGTCATTTTTCAATGTAGGACTTGAACTTTTTTATTTCCTAAGTAGGACTTAATAATGAATAGTGACAAGAATAATGTCCATGTGATGCTGAACATTTAGTAGAATAATGACTAATAAATAATGATCAATGGTCCTACATTGGAAAATAAAAACATATGGTCCTATATTGAGAAAGTCATTATGTTTTAATCATATTTAGGTAAATTACCCAAAATCAAAACTAGAAATAAAATCGGTTTTCTTAATTCTGAACGCGGTGTTTATGTTTTGGTTTTCCATATAGGTTGCGGACGCATGCTTCGATGGAACCTTTTATCCTGGCTGCGCATAGACAGCTAAGCGTGATGCACCCTATCTATAAGCTTCTCGACCCGCACATGAGATACACGCTGGAGATCAATGCATTGGCTCGACAGGGATTGATCAATGCTGACGGTGTTATAGAGCTCTGCTTCACTCCCGGTCGCTACGCCATGGACATTAGTGCTTCTGCTTATAAGAACTGGCGCTTTGACTTGGAAAATCTCCCCGCCGACTTAATCCGGAGGTAAAATTCAAAATGACCCAATTGTCCACTCGAGGAAAATTGAAAATTTTCACAATAATAATGAGTTAATAATAATGTAATAATGTTTTGGTTTTAGAGGAGTAGCAGTGGCAGACTCAACGCAGCCTCATGGGGTAAAGCTGCTGATCGAGGATTACCCGTACGCAGCGGATGGGCTTCTGATATGGGCCGCCATTGAGAATTGGGTCAAGACTTACGTGGGCCGCTATTACCCGGACTCGGACGCAGTGTGCAATGACAGGGAACTTCAGGCCTGGTATGCGGAGTCCATCAACGTGGGCCACGCCGACCACCGGGACGCGGCGTGGTGGCCCACTCTAGCCGCGCCGCGTGACCTCGTGTCCATCCTCTCCACCGTCATTTGGCTCTCCTCGGCCCAGCACGCCGCCCTGAACTTCGGGCAGTACTCGTACGGCGGGTACATCCCGAACCGGCCCACACTCATGCGGCGGCTGATCCCGGAGGAGGCCGACCCGGAGTACGCCGCGTTCACGGCCGACCCTCAGAAGTACTTCTTCTCGGCGCTGCCCAGCTTGCTGCAGGCCACCAAACTGATGGCGGTGGTGGACACGCTGTCGACCCATTCGCCGGACGAGGAGTACCTCGGGGAGAGGCCTCAGCCGTCGACGTGGACGGGCGACGGCGAGATGGTCGGCGCTTTCTACGACTTCGCGGCGGCGATTCGGGAGGCGGAGAAGGAGATCGAGAGGCGAAATGTGGACCCCAGCTTGAGGAATAGGTGCGGGGCAGGGGTCATACCATATGAGCTTCTTGCTCCTAGCTCTTCTCATGGTGTCACGTGCAGAGGTGTTCCCAATAGTGTGTCAATATGATATTTAATACTCCCTCCGTCCCTAAATATTTACTACATTTGCTTTTTCAGCCGTGTCGAAAACTTTTGTTTATTTTGACGTTTTCATTTATTATTTGATAAAATAAAATATTCTTGATACCTCTTATTTCGAAGAATTTTTTATGTAGCTTTTTATATGTAAATTTTATTTTTTTATTTCTTTACCAATATGTAAATAAAATGAATTGAAAAAACTTGATATTTTACCTCGGAAATACAAATGTGACAAATAATTTGGGAGGGAGGGAGTATTTTGATGTTATTTGTGGGGCTCTTTATATGTATTCTTGGCTTTGTCCTTGTTGAATGTTGATTGATAGAGGTAAGCACTTTCATTCATTGTGTTCACATTTGAGTTACTAATGTAATTAGTTACTCCGTATATTTCACCAAAAATAATGATATGAAATCTCAGAGTGCCACGTAAAGCAGGGTAGGGTAAACATATGATCCGAGAAAATAATTCTGACCTTATTGAGTTGCGTTGGGACTGTGCATCTTTATCCCCTTCTTGATTGATTTGAGGAGGAGAGTTCCAATGATGATTTTATCATATTCCAAAACAAAAAAAAAAGACGACAAGCTTAAGAAGTATTTTCAATTGGATTACATACATTTAAGTTCTATACCCGACTTTCATATATGTTAAATAAGCATTTTTAAATATTAAAAGAAACATTTTCAAAATTTAAAAAATGTGTGTGGATCTTAAATTCACCATAGAATCACTCTTTCAATTGTATGATATCGTTCAAAAAAACAATACTCTCTCCGTTTTTAAAAATAGATCATCTTTCATTTCTTCGTTTTCCTTAAAACATTCTATTTTTTAAAAATGACCAATATCTAATTTAAATTGTTGCAATATACTCCATTCAATTTTGATTGATATAAGAAGTCATTTTAATGATTTGTCTATCTTTTTTCGATGATAAGAATGTAATTAGAAGGTTAAACTATAAAAATAAATCTCTTCTCAATCTAAAGAGAGATTGTTTTATGAATTCCAACTGAAAAGAACACTTTAAATAACTACACACATGACATTTCATTTTCTATTTATTTTCTTTTCTTTTCTCAATCCGAAAATAAAGTAAACCCCGACATATTTAATACTCCCTCAATTTAAAAATTACTCCGTATTTTTCAGTTTACTAGTCATAGAGTCAAATCTTTTTCACTTTTTCATTGTCTATTTGATTAAATAATATAGTCATGTCATCTCTAGTTTGTAGATCTTTTGATGTGGTTTTTAAATATATAATTTTTATATTTTTTAGTTCCAAACAATTTTTTATATAAAATAATTTTAAAATAACTTCAGTCAAATATCATGACGCATAATGAGAAGATAATTTTTAGATGGAGTGAGTATTTGATAAGTTGGTAGATATCTCAACAATAAATGGGTATAACAACAACAACAATAAGAAAGCTTATCTCGGCAGGTGGGATCGGCTACATGGATCAGCACTACGCCAAAAATAGATGGTGACAACTATTTTTAAGTAGTTCACTTCGTACTCTTGTTACATATGGTGTTATCCTTCAAAACTCTATACTTCTAATTTAAAAAGTTGCAAAAAAAAATATATTACACAGTTGCTCCGAAGACTACTAAACAAGAATAGAATCAGACAATTGTTATCTTGTATTACATTCATAAAATGTAGACCATTGTTGTATTTTAAACAATTGTTTCTTTCAATTGTATAGTGCTTATTAACACTAGATTTTTGTGTTATTGTCCTTCAAATATTCAAACTATCATTTTGTTCAGTAGTCAAATTGTTAATGACTACTCGAAGAAAATTAAAATTATTTGCACAAAATTTTTATTTTATACTCCCTCTGTCCCCCTGTATTTGTCCACATTTGACTTTTGGAACAGTTCATTTAAGCACTTTGACTCATCAAATTCTCTCAATGTGTAAGCCTAAATATAGTCATGTGTGATCTTGTTTGATTTGTCTTAACATATAGATTATTAATATATAATTTTTATAATTTTTTAATATACAAATTACAAGATAAAATAGATTAAAGAAGTGCATTGGATGGTGTGTAAAAATGAAAGTGGACAAATACAGGGGGACGGAGGGAGTATTTTAGTTTTTTAAATGTATACTACTACTTTTCTTGTATTTCAGACAACTATTAGTTTTAGTTATCTAACATTTATTAACAATATGAATTAGTATAGTTTTCCTTGAAAGATTTACACAACTACTTAAAAGACTACTATATTTTAATTTAATTTTCATTTATATTTAATAACTTATATTTATATTGTAAAGCTATTTAATTTACATTGAAAAGCTATTTGAAATACTATATTTTAATTTACATTTGTGTTTAATAATTAAAATTTATTTCAATTTTAAAATATTGATCATGAAAGAATTATAAATTTTAAAATATAATATATTGAATAATATCTAAATGCATACAATTCAAATATTAGTAACATCTAATAATTTGATATGACATAATAAAAATCACATTGTAGCTGTCCATTGAGCATGCCTAATTTAGTTATTTGTCCCCTCAATAACATTTCTGAATTTATTTTTTACTTTTACAAAGCATGCATCCTCTTTAGTCCTCAATCTATGTACCATCAAATATAATTAAAATGAATGTTTGTTGATAACAACAAAAAGTTCCAAAATAAATACACTTGTAGCCGTTTGGAAGTATTTACTTGCTAAATGCCTCTAAAGCAGTTCCAATGCATCTATTTAGCAATTAGGGTTAACAATTTAGCTTAGAAATCAAGCAAAAGTGGCAAATTTTTCAAAATGAACAATAATTTAGTTCAGATTATGTTCAAATCCCACACTTTTAAATTAAAAAATCAACATATAAATGCAATGTCATGATTCTAAATCTGGTCCCTGAGCAAGATGTATCAATGATAGTTGGCTTAACTTTCAAGCATATGAGCACTTCATAAGACAAAAAAGCATGAAAGCCAAGCTAAAAAGTACAAATTTCTAAAAATCAACATACATAGATTAAATTTTTTAAGCAAATGCATCATGAAATACACAAGAATATATTTGACAACATGATATAGCTCTAGATTCAACCCTTAACAGTTTTGAGGCAAATATGCACTTTATGCAACATTAATTAAATTTGCAAATCAATAAAACAATGCAAATTTTCTAGATACCGATTTTTAAGACATGGAAAGTATATGAATGAAAAATCATGTATGTTAGTATGTACTCCCTCCGTCCTATATTGATCTTCCCACTTCCTTTTTTTCTCGTCCTAAAATCATCTTTCCACACACTTTAAATGCATATGTAATGACTATAATACCCCTAAAAAGTTAAAATATTTATTACTCCACCCACCCCAACGCATGCCTTATCTTCCTTGAATCATTGCCCACCTCTCATTCTCTCATTTGACCTTATCTCTTCCTCTCCCCCATTCTTAAACTTCTCCGCCTCCTCTCATTTGAATCTCAGATCCGCCGCTGACGGCGGTGTTGCGCGGAACCGTAGGAAGAGATCGCTGGAGCTAGTTCCGCCGAGGCAGAAAGGAGGGAAGGGGAAAGATGTTCTTGGCCCTTCAGGTGTCTCCGGCGGTGTCAGGAAGTTCCGGGGCGTAAGGCGACGACCTTGCGGAAAATGGGCTGCCGAGATCCGGGACCCGACCCGACGGGTTAGAGTTTGGTTGGGAAACGGCTGAGGAAGCCGCGGCGATCTACGACAAGCTCCGTGGGGTGGATGCGCTGACCAATTTCAGAGTCCCGCCGGCGAAGCAGGGGAACGACGCTTCTGTTTCAGGCTACGATTCCGGCGACGACTTTGCTGCCGATTCAAGAATGCCACGGAGAAACGAACATAGCGCCTTTGCACTACATTTTTTAAAGGGAGGGTATAATTGGAAGTCAAAGTGCAAAAATTCACTCCCTTAAAAATGAACAAAAGTCAATATGGGAAGATGAATATAGGACGGAGGGAGTATATCTAAGTGTTCTTCTAGAACACATCATGATGGAACTTATTCAGGTGTAAGGAAGATTTCATCAGATGTGATAAAAGAAGATGGGCCCACAACATCAAATCTTACAAGAAAATTGTGAACTCACGCATCTGCAACCTTAACAATGAAGTTTTGGTCCAAAAGAACATTTGTGATCTTGAATTCTTTATGAAGCAAACAAGGACACTCGGAGTGGAGATGCTCTAAACCTGCTTATGTAGTAGTGTTATTATGAAATAAGAAAAGGAGACATAAGCAAAATGACTCTTCTAATAAAAGAACACATACAAAATACCTTATATGTGACCTTATTAACTCATTATTCTTTATTTAATTTTACGATTAGAGATACGTTAGCATATACGGAGTATTTCATCAATTTTGTAATATCTTAAGAGCACAAGGATGTTCATTGATTTTGTAGATATTATCTTTAGCTGCCCCGATAGCTATTGAAAGCCTATGCTTGAATTCAAGCCTCTCCTTTAATTTGAAATATTAGCAAAACATACAAAACCCAAATGAAAAACAAAACTGAAGAAAATATACGAGGAAATTTTCTCTTAAAAATCCACCATACCTTGTTGGAAGAAAAAAAAAAAGCAGTCATATGCGACTTTAATTGCAAACCGTTGTCATTTTTGGACAAATTAGTCTTCTTAGTTTGACCCAAACTAGTACCACCAAGTGCGATCTTTTAGGCTTATTGGACAAATTATCAGTAGGAATTGAAGGATATAATAGTTTCAACCTCTTCAGTTGTGGGATCATCTTCTCCATTTGAGGTCTCGACCCGAGTCTCGTGTGCCATGTGCCAGTAAAACTCTTAACAACATCTTTTTAAGGTAAAATGGCCAAGGTTTGTATTATTATGACTTTTGTTCTTTTCAACTTGGAGTTTGATCTTATTTATATGAGCAGAGCAACAACAAATGGACAACAATTCCAAGAGGAAACAGAGTGGACAGACCAGCAGCTTCGTGGACCCAAACCAAATGCATACAATCCTTTTATTTAAAAACCCAGTCCTGCTTCATACACAGTTTTTCTTTGAAGAATTAATGGACATCCCTAGATGTACTTTAACAAACCAAATCCAAGGCTGCAATAATGGACGACCATCATTTAACTGAGCAATCAAAGTGTTTCACATTAGGAAACAATAATTTAAAGCCAAAGCCAAAGCCATAAACCAGC